ATAGGTTCAAAATGGTTTAGCCCGGATGTTGGAAAAGATGTTCTTTCTGATAATGATCTGAATCCTCTAATTACACTGCATGCTTCCTATAAAAAGCTGAAAGTCATTTATACTTGAAATGCATCCTTCTTGCCTTGAGTGCAAATGTGATTTATATTTTAAAATCCTTTGGGTAAGTTACAATTAATGGAAGAGCCATAGCAACAGCTTCTGTTCAATGTAAGCTCGTTGATTTTTGCTTGTGACGTCAAAATAAAACGCATACTTTAACCTTTTGACCCCCTGTCTGTGTTATATTGTTTTGAGTGTCGTAGCTTTCCTAACATTTTACAAGCAAAATACATGTGGAATGTAAATATTCATTAATGGCGGCTTTAAATCTATGCATATCAAACGGAATGTTTGTAATGATAATAGGAACCAGTTTTTAAAGTCATTTTCTTCGGTTTTTAATATTCATATTTGTGATATCTAATTAAATCTATAAGACATACTATAAAATGAAGTAAAGATAAACAAGAACAAAATAACGTTATTTTATAATGAAGATAGATGTTTTTAAGCAATACGAAATTGCACCTAAAATAGAAGATGGAATTTATGAGAACAAGAATACGAATACTGTATTATAAGAAGAAAAAAAACATTCTTGTAAGAGTCGAATAAGCTAAAGCTACATCTAGAGTGTCATCAGAAAGGCAGCCTTGCTTCATGCGTGTACAATTTCCAACCGAGTATTTACGTTTAGCAAAGAGTGAGGACAAGGCAATTTATATGCTTGTTTAACCTGGAAGGGGCGTTGTGATCGACTCGCTGTACCCGCCCTTGAAGTCTTTTATTTGTTTTTATATTCAAGATTTACTAATACTGACTCCGCTGTCTTTGAATATTTTTCCTGGAAAATATGACAGGTATCTTTTTTTTAAATAAACTAGATAAACTCAATATGTACATCTTTAACTGATATTATATAGATAAACTCAACATGTATATCTTTATCTGATATCAAAACGTACGACTTTTCAACACTTTATACAACCATTCCCCACGATTAATTAAAAGTTCAGGCTTTTTGACATCATAGACAGCTGTTTTTTAAATAAAAGTGGAACTCGTAAATACACTTACCTTGTCATTGGTCATTTGTAAAAATTATTTTGTTAAAAAGCATTCTGATTGTACACACAATTACTCTGAAATTGATATTAAAAATATGCTTGAATTTCTGATTGACAATATCTATGTAGTTTTTGGAGATCAGGTCTTTCAACAATCTGTTGGAATTTCCGTGGGTACCAATTGCTCCCCCTTGTTATCACAGAATTTATTCAAAACCTTCTACATGAGAAGAAAAAAACACTTGCTGTGGCCTTCAACTCGACATTTAGAAATATCGACGACGTATTATCAATTAACAATCGTTACTTCCATTCAAATGTCGACTCGATATCTCCCAGTGAGCTTGAAATAAAAGATGCCACAGAGTCTGACACATCTGTTTCATATTTGGATATTTTACTAAAAAAAAAGACTTTAAAGGTAACCTTACAACAAAGCTTTATGATAAACGTGATGACTTCAATTTTTCAAACGTCAACTTCCCTTACTTATGTAGCAGTATACCCTTATCACCTGCATATGGCGTTTTTGTCTCCCAGTTGATTCGATACGCAAGAGCATGCGCAGTACACTTAGGTGCCAAATGGAAATATCGGTGAAATTTTTAGATAGAAAATACATTCTTTGCAAGGATGGGCGACTCTTTTTAGGACTTAACTATTATCGGACAAATGCAATGTGGTTGAAAACTACATGTGAGGACGATTAGATTTCTTATTTAGACTTGTGGCAGTCACGTGACTTTAGCAAATATACCTGAAGTATTCAGGTCATCTATAAATTCCAATATTGCAAGGACATAACCAAGTTAAAAATCTAAGATTAATTTATAAATGTTTTCAACACTCTTTGTAGTTTGTGAAAAGTGCTGCTTAATTACAAAATACATTTTTCATTGTATAAAATATAACTTGATCTGCCTCTCGCTACATAATGTACAAACTGCGTCAAATTTTGCGATATGACGTAACATTGACAAATACATTGTGATCAGTGAATTGTTTATATATTGCTGAGTGGAATATAACCAACGACAAAAATACATGCAATAGTTTGTATTGATGTAATTTAAAGCTTTCCAACAGTTTAAAGTCGCCCGCATGGCGCAATGGTTAGAGCGTCTGCTCTAGAGTCGCGGAGTAAGGAGTTGATCCTTACGTCGCGGGTTCGAATCCCACTGTGGGACGTGGAGACCGATCCTTTGGATGAGACCTATAAACCGAGGTCCCGTGTCGCAGTAGGTGCTGGCACGAAAAAGATCCCTCACTGCTCAATGGCCGTAAGTGCCGAGAATAGGACAAAAATTTGCAGCTCTCCACCGGCAAATGGTGGCGTCTCCATATGAGTGAAAAATTCTCGAGAGGGACGTTAAACAAACAATCAATCAATCCAACAGTTTAAAATAGCAAAATATTTCATTTTGTGGTAATTTGAAGTATATTTTTGTGTGATGTTATAGTAAGCATTTCCCGTATAAATTAGGCCCCTCCTCCTTATGGTAGCCTTAACTGTGCTGCGTGATTTACAATTTCTAAAACGAGGTAAGTTACTGACAAATAAGTTAATGAAACAAGGATTTCAACAATTTCGTTTGAAGTCATCATTTCGTAAGTTTTAAGGTCGATACAGTAACCTTTTCAGCAAATACAACCTACCATTAAGTAAAATGCTGACTGACGTTTTTCATACTAATTGTTAGGCCATTATTTACACACTTTATTGTCTACGGAGTTTTCCGATTTTCCCGATCAAGACAAGGAGCACACGGCGGGTGCGACTATAAGAAGAACATTGATATTTCAGTAGTGATAGAGGGTAACCATTAAAGTAAAAGTCTCGCTATAGGAAGGTATTGATATTTCAGTATTGGAAGAGGGCAACCATTAAAGTAAAATAGTTTCTCTTGGAAGTACTTTACTATTATTTTACTGATAGGGTTCAAGAATTAATGTAAAGTAGCCTAACTAGGGAGAACATTGATATTATATTATTGATAGAGGGGAGGGCAAGACTTTAAAGTAAATACCGCGGTAGTCTCATTAAGAAGAACATTGATATTATAATAATAATAGAGGGCAGAAATCTCACTCGAAAGAACAATAATATTTTAGCATTGGTTGAGGGCAAAACTAAATAAAACAATTAAATAGTGATGTATTTACGTGCATATTACTAGAAGAAGGTATCATGTTGCGGATTTTACCCCCACCCCACCCGCTCTCTTTTTTTCGATCAAGAGAGATATCATTGAATGGGAAAGTGTAGGGAAACAATTTGTTAGGATAAATTGTCTGACAAATTTTATCTTATCAAATAAACTGCAAAACATGATTACAGTTTACTAATCATTTTGCTGAGTTTTTTTTAATGATAAAATAAAACTGCTATAATGTGGGATCTTATTTCCCATTGAAAGAGGTTGTACAAGGTAGGTTGTTGTATCTGATGACAGTTCCATGTGAACTTGTGCATGTTAATGTGACATTAGTCTCGGATGTCACTTTATTTAGCAACGCAGTTTTGAATTAAGATTTTATCTCACCTCTGCTTAAAAAAAATTATGTGATACTGGCCTAGCCTGTTTTAAATAACTGGGGGGTATAACATAAAGGACATATCTAAAAAATAAAACACATAATGATAAAAAAAAGTTGCAAAAGCATGTTTCCTTTCAAGAGTTTCTCGGTTTGTCCTGAATATGCACTCAAGAACACATTTTTTAAAGTTTAAACTGGAAACCTGGATTATTTGTATAATAAACTACTAGCATCTGTAAATTTCAGTTCCAAGGAAACTAGTGAAAGAAGCTAACCATTAACATATTAATGGTATCCTGTTCCGAGTGGAATCTGATTTAAAAAGAATAAAATCAAACGGACATCAGCAAAAGAAACAAAGTATGCCAGCATGTCAAGGTTTTTTTGTCTGATCGATGAAGCGCATCCCGTGAATTTTACACTATAACCACTTGATCTAGTACCCATGTACATGTATTTGATGCCAAGATTGATCAATTGCAACAGTATATCTAACCTGAATTGGGACCAAGCACGAACTGCATCTTATATATCAAATGGAGTTGCATGTCGAAAGGAGCCGACGCATTAACTCTTATAAGTGGAATAACACTGAAATCGCTATAGGTTTTTTTTTTCTCGGTTGACATATAATGTTAAAAATGTCTTGTGAGATAGGCAATGGTTAATCCTGCTATAAATATTTTGCGCAATTAATATTTATCTATATTTTTTTTTAATTTTAAAGCCAATACGATAAATTCAAATTTAAAATATATAGCATTCACTTTGACTTTTATATTTTTTTTACACTCATACACATCCACGTAGAACTTGCAACATTTCAGCCGCATCCCAATCTTTCGCAAAAGACTCAAATTATATATATATATATATATATATATATATATATATATATATATATATATATATATATATATCTCTGTGTGTGTGTACCTGCAGCGGGGATGTTCTTGATTTCTTTGTGGCTTACCACAAGGTCCTGTTCTTGGACGTAATGTTCTGCTAATTAATGAAGTCTGTTGTTGTAAAAGAATATCTGTTTCATTTAACAGTACATTTGACTTGTCCTACAGGTAGAATATCTAGAGTGACTCCGTTTCGACAAAAATGTGAAAAATAGCAAGACAACCATATTTTGTATCATATGAATATGTACAAACCGCCGGTACTTGTAACGCAAGTAACGGGTTTTCTCCCTGGTGGCCTGTACTTAATACAGATACAAAAATGTGACCTACCTGCTTTTTTCACATGATGTATCAACTTATCACTAATTCGTTTGTAAAGTTTAAACTCATTTTAATAACCATCATGCCCAAAATAGACAAGAGACACAAAAGAGTGTTTTCAACTTCGTTTATTTTCATTTAAATCCAAGATTTCTAAAATTTAGTCCGAGATTTATTAATTATTGTGCAAATTGTTTTTTTTAAAGAACCGCATCCAATGAATGTTTTGTTTTAACGTACTGTAAGGTTCATTTAAACTAGGCTCTTGTTTTCGGTTTCCTAGCTGAAGTTCAAATCAGTTCACTTTTTATTAATCCAAATGGTGGCAAAAGAGACATCCAACATCAAACAAACGCAGGTTAACCGAGATATTGCACACAATTAAGCTTGTAACAAAACATTAATAATATGCCATCAGTTACGTGTATGTAACTATGTCCATTTTTGCGATTGTAGATATTATGGAATTGCTTTAGTGCAAGCATTGCCTTTTCATACCGATCGTTCACAAAGACATTTCCCAAAATAAAATTTCTGGTATTTCAAAACTGAAAAATTCATATCAAATTTCCGACTAATATACAAATAAGTAACAAATATAAACATCTTCCTTTTCGAATTTTCAGATTGTCAGTATACCCACAGAGCACAAATGATAGTATTTTTCCAGCATGAACAATAATTTAAGGCTGAGGACATGTTTCTAAAAAGTTATGTAGATATGTTTAATTATATTTCTGGACCATTTTGACAATCGTCTCCTCTCAATTGTTTTCTCCGTTTATCTCCTTCCAAGCCTTGCAGCAAAGGAGAATCTATCTATTCCTCTAGTTTGGGTGAATATTGGTCTTCCGCTTTGCCTATAGTACCAGTAAGGATATAACCGTTTTTGCATGGGTTTTTCACCTGTGTACAATTCCTGAACGATATCCGGGGAGGATGCTGCCTGTTTTTCGTACAGATCCGCCGCTCGTTTTCCCAGTCCTCCAAAAAATCGATGAGAATCCAGACGACGTTTACCCAAGCCTCCCATGAATCCAAACCGGTCAAGCTTTCTTTTTCCAAGACTACCAATAAATCCGTATCGATCTAACGCTCTCTTTCCTAAACTCCCCGCAAAGCCGTACCGGTCTAAACCCCGTTTGCCGATGCCACCCATAAATGAATATCTATCCAGGCCTCTTTTCCCTAGTGATCCAGAAAACCCATATCGGTCAAGGGCTCGCTTTCCAATACCACCGAAAAAACCATATTTATCCAAAGCACGTTTTCCAATTCCGCCAAAGAAGTTGTACCTATCTAGTCCGCGTTTTCCGAGTCCACCAAAAAAAGAATATCTGTCCAATGCACGTTTGTCTTCGTCGGTAAGTTCGCCTAAATCACTATTTTGAAATTCAAAGGAGTCATCTGTATGTTTTGGTGAGCCGTTTTCCGTTTGTTTGTTTAAAAGTTTTATATTATCCAAATGTTTCGTAAGGTCCTCGTTATTTAAAGCAATGTGCTGTGAAACGGCAAATACAAATACTTGAACTAAACAAATACATCCAAACACTATATTAGCATAGTTCGCAGGCCACATGTCCACTGATCCGTTTGCTGTTTTCAGTAATCTGCAATAAGTAATATTTTTTTAATAAATTGAGTAAGACTTCAATGAAAACACACTAGCATTAAAAGCAAGAATTCAAGACAAATGGTACTGAAAATAGTCTGACTAAAGTTTAGACTTCGGTCATTAATGACTTAGTCTTTTTTTTTTAAACAAGAGCAATTTACTGCAAAACACTCTGTGATCGATTTATCAATTCAAGCTGAAAAAAGAACACCTGACCAAAGAGTTTAACATTGTCAATTCTAGTTTCAATTAAGTGGTATAGAGTAATGAACGAAGAGACGACAATCAACTGTCTTTGCCTGGCTAGCGGTCATTTTATTCCGTCATGTCTGTGTTACGTTAACGAACAGGAAACTATGGTGCAAGAGATCAGGTATAAAGTTAAAGTTATTTAAGAATTGGCTGTCTGTTGTCCTTTATGTCTGTATCCCTAATAAGCTGTCTATGAAACAACCACTTGACACGTTTATTTAAAAGCATGCAAAACACTTTTTTGCTTAAACAAGATGAAACAAAGGCTTGCATTATTTTTACATTCATTGCATTCACAGATAGCAAATACTGACGTTTTATTCGTTTGCGAGTTCATAAGAAAATGGCCATCCTAAAATGCATATTCCGTTATGGTATGACATGATGACCCTCCTTTACAAGGAAAAAATTCTGAAAGTCGATTTTTTACAGCAGTCAACTTTTCGATATGTTCAATCTAGCAACACTCAAGAAAAACATTTTGGAAATAAGGTCTTTATACTGTCAGTATTTAATAAAACATGTTGGTAAACACATATAAATGTTGATAAACAGAAAAAAAATGTCTTTTTTTCACAAATTCCACAATTTAATTCATTTTCGAATGCCTACAGTCCGTCAGTGCAGCTACGTAAGATGCTAAAAAAATTCATTTTTTAAAGAATAAAATGAATGTAAATATCGGATTATACTTTATATCTTTAAATCAGTAAAATAACAGGGGAAGTATTCATTATGCTGCTTTTCTACACAATTCTTAACCGTGGTGAAATACATGGAATTTCATTATGAACATATAATAGATCTAAAAGACTAATGACCAACCGAAGTAAATCACCTTTTATGGTGAACAAGTGTATAAAAGACATTTTAAAATTAATTAGACTTTCTCTAGACTTAAAAAAAATACAACACGAGAGAGAGAGAGAGAGAGAGAGAGAGAGAGAATTAAATCACTTGTGTTTTTAATAAGGGATTAGGATTGATGATATTTTCCTCTGCAATGTGCAGGGAGATTTTAAGAGCTTGATCATAAATCAACTAGAAGACATCTGTAATCATGTCATGTGAAATAGCAGTTAAAATTTCCAATGCAAAGATTTCTTTTATCAAAATAAAACAAACAAAAATTGTATTTGTTTTTACCCCACAAAATAAAAAGTATCTAACGGCGCGTTTACCGTTAGCTATGTAAAGGAGGTGAATTTCATCAGCTGAAAAAAAGCTCGAAGTGCTCTCATTAAATCGACTCTTTCATAAGATTATTGCAAAACCTTTTGTGCGAAACTGCATATGATTTAACTTAAATATATAATATATTTAAGGCGAGGTAGTAGATTTATCATTTAAACTGCTGGCAGTTGGCTTGCTATAGCAAGATCTAGATGTTGCATGTTTTCAAAATGAAACACGACTTATGCATTGCATGACTGTTGTGTTCACAGTAACAGTTTTATCTCTGAGCAAATATGGTAGCCATGACGTAGAAGTGTAGTTTAAGTTCTTTTCTTTATATGAACCCATAATTGGACAAGGATAGGCATCAGAGAGTATTTGTTAACAAATATTTGCATATAACATTGATGACGATTTTTACAAGCTATCGATGGTGTTTTCCAAATATTGATATAGAGTACGGATGTGAAAACTGTACACCGCCGTTAATTACTGTACTCAGATGTTGCGTTGCTTTTACTGAGGTTACACACAAAATGTCATGTCATTTGCTTAATTGCATCGGAAACGAAGACATAGACCCAAAAGACCTTGTATGAAATTACCAAGACTGATTAAAAAATCCCAACCGTTGAGATTATAAATATTGGCGCTCTTTCGTGTAATTTTGTGATTTCTTTTATCTCGGGTTGTATATCGATATTATGATAAGGCACGAATAAATAATCACACCTACATATCTTGTAATTAAATGTCGCCTTGATTAATAATATATCGACAGATTCACTACTGTAATTTTCAGTACACGAGGTGAGGATTCACTTTAATCAAAGAAAACGTCAATCCGACGATGAATTCTGAATATTACACATTATTTTATCAACATTCAAACAACGTATATTTTTTCAGAAAAATAAAAACTCAGTAATATAGTTTGGAATATACATAACTCATGGGGGAAATCCGCTTAACTTTGATTATACCCGGCCACTTCTTACTTTTATAACTAATGACCAATAAGAAACTTAAAGTGAAACAAACGCTTTCCGGATCAGGTCTATAATGTGTTCCGAGTTGTATGACATCCCTTATTATTTGTCGGATAATAAGTAACTGTAAACCATAATAGAGCCAACATCAAACGATGAAGTCTGTAAAACGAGAGGGAATCCTATAATTTTACACCTCGTCCATCGCCTAATCACATACCAGCCTGGTATATTGAAGATTCCTGTGACCACAGGCATCAATAGAGAAAACAAAGACGCCAGTATGAACGGCAATGCTCACCTCGGGCATTATAGAAAAGATTCTGGTTTACAACTTTATCATCAAATAAAATTCTAAAAAGAAATTTCTCCAGGTATCTTAGAGGAAATGTCAGATAAGGAGAGCTCATAATTATAGCAAGTATACATGTAGCACTATCTTTTCTCTGTTAGTAGGTATAAGAAAAATTACTGGTATGCGAAACTGCTTAAGTTGATATTCCAAAGAGGAACAGTCTCTTTATATCTAAAAATAATAGTTGTTTAGTTAATATTTAAAAGCTGACTGAAATGTTTTGGGTGTTGTTTTTGTTTTCATGAAGTATCTTTTCCAAAGACAATAATACCTATTTCAGTTAAAGGGAAAGTAAGAATGTTTGATTTGTAATTCAAAACACTTGTAAATTTGGACAAAATGGCACCAGGTATATTTATTCCTATTATGTACATGAATATCTGGTGCAGACTCTTTACATCTACGAATGACCTTTCATGATTTATGGATCTAGATATATGTTGTAAACACACTAAGTTAGGCGTTCTAGAGATGAAGCAATTGAGTCTGATGCAAATACAACCTCGATTAATAGGCGCCACTTGATTTGTAAAAAAAAAAAACAAAAACACACACACATTTTGATTATTACAACTAAGAACAATCATTTCATTACACTTTTTTGATTGATTTACAAAAGAAAAAAATAAAGACTAGTCTTTTTAATGAAATCTAAATGGAGAACTAATAATCCCAAGGGGAATATGCGCTTACAAAGAAGCGGTTACTAATTTTTGTCGTTATTGACATAACTTTTCACGGCTTAAAGGCTTGAAGATTGCAGTGTTGGAGGATAAATATCAATATAAATGTCTTCCATTGTGAGTGTTATTTAGCGAGTGGTTTTGTGTGGTACTTAACATAGCAACAGTGAATGTCATCGAGATAGTAAATACTTCATTGATATTTATTGAGAGAAACCACTTTCAGATCGATGTAAATAGACATGATATGCTAATAATTTATGAATATTTAACCTCATCAGTATTATTTATTTTCGATTCTTTTTTTTTTTTTTTTTTTTTTTTTTTTTTTTTTTTTTTTGATGTAATACACTATAAAAAAAATTCTGACGTTTAATTTTGATTTCATAGCGAGTAAAACATTGCTGAATTTTTTAAAGAGAATAAATGAAATTACTATAACCATGAGTATATCTAATTTTTTCTGTCTAATTTAATTGTAATCGTAGACTTTTTTTTGGATGAAAAGTGCATTTATCAAATCAATTTCATAATGAAATACTGGGACAATATTTATCAGTCGCTGACCTGTTAAAATATATATTTAGTTAGTTTCTTTTCTTTTCTCTTAATATCGACATGTTGTTACTATCAATTTTGAATTTCTTCTTGTGTATATAATTCTTTACTTGTATGCCCTGAGGGGCCCCAAATTGGGATCAATAAATCTTATCTTATCTTATCTTATATTTGCACACAAGGTTTGATTACATTTACGTTGAAGAAACAAGGCTGAGAGAGAAAAAAATGCATTGATACAATCTGCATTGCGTTTTTCATCATTACACCCATAAAGTTTTAATCTGGCATTTCTCTGATTTAGCCAAAATATCCTGACCAATAATTTCGAATGTCTGGTACTATGTTGAACTGGCTACAACTATAATAAAGAGAGCCTTTTATTCAGTTTCTGTAGAGGTATGGGTATTGATATCAAGAGACTGAACAACTCTTCTTTTTTTTCTTTTTTTTTTTTTTTTTTTTTTTTTTTTTTTACTTTTCAGTTTTTAACATCAAGTTTGCTCGATATATAATAAAGACGACAAGTTTCCATAAAGGTATGATTACTGGTATCAAGAGACTGAAATTCGCAAAATTGATTTTTTTTTTTTTAAATTTAACTTTATTTTCATGTTCCTAAGTTTTTATGTCAAGAAATTAAAATAACCTCCATTTGTACTGTTTCTTTATTTACCACATGTTCTGTACGCGTTTTTGTATCACGTGCGCTCACCACTGATTATTGAGAACAAGCATACCAGCAACTGTAATCTGGCTGCCCCCTTAAAAATCCAAAGGACCGTGATTCCATAAAAAACTATTGAAGCGGAACAAAGTGCAATCTTGATCTATAACTCTTCAAGGTAGAAAAAGCAGCTCAATGTCTGCAAGCGTTTAGGGTGGGGGGATGCGAAATAACAAATGGGAAATCTGGCTCTCCCTTAAAAAAAAAAATAAAAGGCTGTTATTCCATTAACAATCCTCGAAAAAAAAATTAAAAGGCTGTTATTCCATTAACAATTCTCGATGCATAACGAAATCTCACTCACTTACCAAAAACAGCTCAATATCTGCAAACGTTTAAAAAGAGTTTTTAAAAAAAAACAAGTGGGACAGACTGACGGTGGGACAAACAGAGAGACGAGGAGGAAAACATGTATAGTCCCCTCCGATTTCAAAACTTCATGACTCGTATTCATGCCGAGTTCAGCTAGCTGTGATCCGATCGTGTAGTCTTGTAGGGGTTTTGGACATTCAGTAAGTTTTTATAAAAGAATTGGAACTCATTGTCGATATAAACATTTAGTCTAATAATGGTGGATTTCTTATCATCTGGAAAATCAAAATTGCTATCCATTAAAGTGAAGGTTCCCTTATAATGTTAAAACACGTAATAATATGGTATAGGAAATGAAATCTCTAGCAGAATAAAAATGATTTACTGTAGTTAAGTGTCCAAAGAGTGTCTCATTTTTCATAAAGTTAACAAAAACAGATGCTTGCTTGGTACATATTGGTTTGTCACTTGTTCACATGAACCTATTGTTAACAGAAGGTAGTTTTAAAATTTCCTTCTCTGACAGGCATTCATTCTATTACAAGTAGGACCTCTTTGGATTACACGAGAAACTTCCTACATTTTATTGGAAACAGGATTACACAAATCTAATACCCTTGTGTAGATGGACAAACGTCGGTAGCATTATCTTTCCATATTAAAATTTAATATGTTTCCAAACATGATACAATAATTAGTTTATGAGACAAACTAAAGGCGGACATAGGATGCTGTGAACAAAATCTTAACTCGATGTAAATCATTTCAACACTTGTGGGAAAATTGATCTAATTCATCACATCTGTCTAACTCTTGTGTCGATTTCACGTCTAACCCAAAGATTTTAGAAAACTCGAATCAATCTTAATTTAATCCTTCATGCACGTAAAAAAAATCCCCAGAAAATTGACACGCGACATAAATAAAAATAAATATACAGTGAGCAGATAATTGTATTAAACCAGCTGTCCGCGATCTTCCATATTGCACAACATTATGCTAAAGAACGATCTTTCATTAATCTTTAATTAATATAATGCTACGATGTTTATGTCATTGATGCTGCAAAAGTTGCGTTAAGCTTTTTAAAAGCTTCTTGCGATCCGAAATTTCTTTTGTCAAAACTTTTTACACGAGAATAGTTGGATCTTACAGATCTTGAGGAATTACAAACTTCCAATTTTCAGAGTTCAATAGAAAAAGTTCATTTTCTTGTACAATGTACAGTCTTTGATGTGATCAGCACATCTTTGGATGTATGTTATTCAGATTGCTTAATTCCAAACCATGATTAATTAACATGATTTATTGTCATAAAAATATTTCTAAAACCTTGAGGGGAAAAATAGTTTCGTTACAACCTTTTGTTTAGAAATATAAGCTGCATTGGGAATTTCTTTCATAGAGGTGTATTTAATAAAGTTGAATTAACAGGTGGGAGTACTAAGTTTTAATAATATTTTTAATAAAGTCGAATTTACAGGTGGGAATGTACTAAGTTTTAATAGTATTTTTGACTATGTCTGTCAGGATGATATGACAAATGCCTTGATTTTTATGGCTTAGAGAGTAGTGTATACACTATACCTACTTGATTTTCAGACTACATTTCATGTCATTTTCTCTCAAACTTCATGAGATGGTATCCAATCAATTTCATTAGTATACTTTTCTCTTCTTTCTTTTCGCAGAAAGACGAAATGGTTAATTTGTGTTCAACAAACAATACATATTTGGAAATAAAGTTTGTTAGACGTTTTAAATAAAATATCCTGTGAAGTTCGAAGCAATACCGTCTTAGAATAGAATAAAGGTCAAGTTTAGAACTTGAGATACATGTATATCTAATAGAATGAAACATGATATCCAAGAGGAATTAAAATTTACAAAATTTTGGGGAAAATTTCTTTAAATACTTTCATTCAATTGAGTTTCAACGAAATGCATTGGACTGGAGTAGACATGATTTTATATGTCGGGTCGTCCATATATCTGGAAAACAACCATGCCAGATTTAAGGGAGGGGGGGGGCGCATCCAGTGCGCACTCAATAAAAATAAGAAAGTTTTGATAAATCTAATATTCACTTCAAGTATAGAGTTTCTGTTATGTTCCTTTCTTTTTTTAAAAAACTTTGTGCACTCTGTGACATCCTGGATCCTCCTTTAAAAGACTTCTCTAAATATTTCATTAATAATCTCAAGTTTAATAATAATAAAAAATGTCTGCATTCACAGATTCAAATAAATTAAATGAAACAGTTATTAAATTCTAATGGTTACATGATTTCAAACTAATCATTTATAGAATATAAAAAAGGGCAAATATTATTCGACCGATTGATCGTAAAGGATATGGGCGAACAAGGCGAGCGAAATGCCTACAGTGCGACAAACATGAAGATGAAAAATTAAATCTCAATTATAACAAAATTTTGATATTACATGCAACATTAAAGTATCTTTTGTGTAAAATCTTCACAATTCACAAAAAAGCTCAAATATTATTTGCCTATGAAATAGCATATATATGTACACACTTAATTAAGAGCGCAAAAAGGATCATTTTCTCATACTACATGTATAATGCAGGAGTTGTGTAGCGTAGTGGTTAGCGTGTTTGTCTCAAAACAGAATGCTACTCAGGTTTTTTATTACTTAAGGTTCGAATCCCACGAATACCACAATACTTTTAAATAACAGAATAATTTTTGTTAAGAACATTTTCCTCAGAAACATTTGTTTACCATATTTTCAACAATTTCAATAATGAGAACTTTACTCTAAATTCTAAATTCACGAACTGCATATGATTTTTATATATCTGAAGCTAAAGGCATTCTGCACGCCTTGTTCACTCATCTCCTTTGATAAAGAAAACTTTCACATGTAGGGACTTTTCACGACAAATTACTACAGAGATTTTAAAAAAGTTTGTTTTGTCTTTTCTCCAAATTCAAAATTATCCCACGTTTTAGAAAATATTATAGTAGCTAAACGAGGTAAATGATAAGGCGTATAGCACCTTTAGTGAAAGCAGAATCGTGGTGTTTAAAACCAGTAATCGTTTTTGCAAAGACTGTACATGTTTGACAAGTGACATTTCAGAGATGTATAAGTGTTTCAAGGGTCCCTGGACGGCCTGGACACCGTATAACGACGACAATATTTTTCACAATTAGAGATACGACAACGGGAAATGAATATCTAGAGACATAGTGGTTAGTGAACAATTATTGAAATCTTCAATTTTACACAGAACTCACCTATTCGGTGAAGCTAGATTTATTTTTTCCATAATATGAAAGCTATGATTAGTTTTCAACTAATGCTTGGAGAAGTTGTTTTAATGATTTCTTGTTATGGCAAGATATTGGGTATAGTATTTAAGGGATTTTTCACGCTATCTCTCTGCTAAATTTCTTCTCTATCAACACGTTTTAGATTTGTATGGATATATTTTGTAATTCTCGAAAATTCAGAAGCATATGCAATGGTGCATTACATCTTCAGACAATAACTTACTTAGAATAGAAAAGAATGTTTTAAGACTATATACATAAATAATGATTTTAGAAGTGTTCCATGTCATAAAGATAGTCGTTAGTAACCCATTAGCATGATATATGGCTTTTGGTTTCATATAAATCGGGAAAACACGAGAGTCCAATGATTAAGATTATTATTTGGCATCTGTTAACAGGTTTTCGAATGTCAAATTACAGAAATAAAACATTATCTTACGTAAAATGTAATGATCTTTCATTATTGTTTCAAAAAAGAAACTAATTAAAATAAACTTGTCTAAAATAAATTGTCTTTAGCTAGTCACCAATATATTATTTTCCGTAAAAAAGCATCATGTTTTCACCTTGTTGTTCAAAACTCGGACACTATAAAAAGTGTATTTTGTACCTTACCTTAGAGTCCTCTTCCCAAAAAGTCTGTGTTAAACCAAAAGAGTAGACTGTAGATGGTCACTGATATGTTTACTCCAACGAAATGGTGTATAGAATTAAAAATTTCAACAATGATAATATTAAAAAGTTTCACTTCAGCGTCGATGGCTTTCGATTTATATCGGAACTTAGAAGTGGGAGGGTAAGTCAGGATCAATACGACCCATAGCGCCAATAGTGGAGGGCTATTGTCAATCAATCGAACACTTTTCCCGGAACAGGCATTTGACATCTCCCCCGTAAAGAGGGCGGGCGCTATTTGCAATAACAACTGCATGCAGTAAGCAATTAAGGCTAATTCGATTATTGCCAGACGCAGAGCATTTAATGCCTTCCCAATTGATGTTTGATGATACCCTATAACGCAAAAAAGGGACAAAAATGGTTAACGCACATTGTAGTTGACAGCGCAACAAATAAAATTGAGGACGATTGTGAAAACGTATGAGGATTTAAAATATTTCAGTGTATTCAACACATTATAACCACACATACTTTACTTAAATAAAATAAAACTAGGCTACTTTGAAAAAGTATTCCTTTATTTTTTATAGAAGTAACACCTGGAAAAATTTACAGTATCTTTGTCCTGTCTGCATCCTGTATTCTGGTATTTAATTGAGTAACACACACATAGAACCTTCAAGGATTATTTTGTTCAAAGACTGATCTTTGTCTGTTAAATTTCGCAAAATTTTTTAAACTGAGCATTGTTTGAATACAGAATTCATCACTGATGGTTTACAATTCAGAACCACCAAATTTTAGATCAATGAGGTTTCATGTTCACAAATTCGCTTTACATTTAAACAACTTGGAATTAATTACGTAATACTGGTAATGCTTAAATAAATTTTACGGGATATGATGAAATTATTTTGCCGTTTTTTTTTCTTCAACAAAATTTGAAAACTGTCCAATAAGCATTTTGATTTACATCAAATCACATCACATTTTGTATATCCCCATAATCCAACAAACCCAGTAATCTCTAAATTTCTAACTTTGAATTTAAAATGGAAAGAAAACATTGAAACATAATTGCAAAGGAAGTGTGGATGTTAGAGTATAAAAGATACAAGGAATACATGCAAGCTACCCTCTCGTCATTGGAATGGTAGCGAGGTATTCTATTCCACAGAACTTGATTGGACAACATGGCCCATTTGTGATAAAATATCTGAACGTTTGCCCTAAAAAGAGAATTTCCTGGATAAAGGACTTTAATTATTAAAATTTAGTGCAAGTTACATTAACAATAACAAACATTTGAAATATTATTTAATACTAGTCAAAGTGAAACTAAAATGTCAATATTTCCCTTAATTTGAGAGATGAATGTACCATCAGCAAAACCTATGGGTAAATAAATTGCAAGAATTGTTAGAAATTGTTGCTGTTGCTTTAAAAAAAGTTTGGAACCAAAGATTCTGCACAAAGAATGTGCATTGATTTTATTTATTCATTATTAGTAGCTGCAGAACTGTAGCTCTCCGAAAAAAAAAATTGACAGACCGGAGACTCCGGTCTGTCAATTTTTTTTTTCGGAGAGCTACAGTTCAGCTACGTTATTAGTATCTCAGTCTCCACTCCATATTTTGAAAAGTTTCATGTGAAAATGTACCACTATGCAAATGAAAATAATAAAGACATTCAGTGATATCATGACCGGGCCATATTTGATGTTTTTTTTCTGTGAATGCCATCCAGCCCCAACAGGCAACAAGAGGCCAAAGGGCCTTATCAATCACCTGAATATAATACAATATTGTAAATGATCCATAGAAATATAAAATAAAACAAAATGACAGATGAAGCTATGTTGACAAAAAGAAAGAGAAAAATGATGATCAGGGATCAACAAAATAATTATTCTAGCTCTCTGTAACAAATATTAAAGTAAAGTCATTTCTAACCTATACTTGTCCCCCCCCCCCGGGCCCTCCCCTTTGTCACTATCGCCATGTAAACTAAACAAAAAGAATAGTTGTAAACACATCTCATTCCTTATCAAATTGTCCAAGGGCCTTAATGGTCACCTGAGTATAATACAACAACTTACAGGATCCATAGAATATAAAATAAACTGATAGATGAAGATTTGTTGCCCAAAAGCAAGAGAAATAGGATGGTCAGGATCAATGAAATAATTAGTCTAATATCTAGTAACTCAAATATTAAGTTCTAATCTGTCCCATGTTTATCAGTATCACCATGCAGACTATTAACAAACTATTAGTGCTTCTGTACTATTTTTAGCCCAAATTGACATTTGCCTCTTTTGGTCTTTGGAGAACATTTTAAAAAGTTATTTTTGTCTCATTTTTTATTATCCCATTATTTACAAGTCTATCTGATCATTAAAACTACTCGGTATGAAAGTAGTTTTTGTGTTATACAATAAAATATTTTGCATAATTCTCTTATTCTATTAACTTTTCAAATATAATATTTACAGTGATTAACTATCAAAAGTGAATTGTAAAGGGGAATAACTTCTCTCAGTAGAATACAAATTAATAGAGCCCTGGCCAGGACCAGAACACTTGACCAAACGGTCAAGATTGTTTAAAAATCTGATAAAAATATTCTTGCTTATTAAAACTTTTACTTTGTCTTTGATATGTCAAGGAACACAGAAGATTTTCAAAGAAATGATGCATTTTTACTACATGTACCATGACTACAGATTCAACACAGCCCTACCCTAACACCAAAACCCATGACCCAGGGTCATGAATTTCACAAATTTGGAAGAAGTATCCTCATCACAAATTTGGAAGAGTTACCCTCATCATAACTCTGCAATTAGTTGAAGATTTTCAAAAAATTAACACATTTTCACTTATGTTATCAATAGACCCCCCCCCCCCAATGAGAAACACAAAAGCCCCTCACCCTGCTACCGCGAAGTTTTAAAAATTTTGCAAGACGCACCCTTATTCATCATAACCATGCACTTTATTTATCTGCTTAACACTAAGAATTAGACAGGATTATTTAACAGAATAAATGCATTTTCACTACATAATTAATAGAGCCCCGCCCTAACACCAGAACCCCTGACCCAGGGGACACAAAATTCAAAATTTTGGAAGAAGCATTCTTGCTCACCATAACTATAGACTTAGTTAGTGTATTTAATACCCAGAAGAAGAGAAGATTCTCAAAGAATTAATGCATTTTCACTATATCATAAGAACCCCGTCCTAACACCAGAACCCCTGACCCAGGGGCCATAAAATTCACAATTTTGGAAGAGGTACTCTTCCTCATTATAACTATGTACTTAGTTCATCGGCTTAATACCCAGGAGCAATGGAGAAGATTTTCAAAGAATTAATTAATGCATTTCCACTATACAATCAATAGAGCCCCGCCTTAACACCAGAACCCCTGACCCTGGGGCCATGAATTTCATAATTTTGGAAGAGGCACTCTTGCTCATCATAACTATGTACTTAGTTCATCGACTTAATACCCAGGAGCAGAGAAGATTTTCAAAGAATTAATGTATTTTCACTATATAATCATAAGAGCCCCGCCCGAACACCAGAACCCCTGACCCAGGGGCCATGGAATTCACAATATTTGAAGAGGCACCCCTACTCATCATAACTATGTACTTAGTTTGTTTAATACCCTGGAGCAGAGAAGAAGATTTTCAAAGAAATAATGCACTTTCACTATATGATCTATATAGCCCCGCCCTAACACCAGAACCCCTGACCCTGGGGCCATGAATTTCACAATTTTGGTAGAAGGCTCACTGCTTATTACAATCATGCCAACAGTTTGACTGCTTGATGTCCAGGAGTTAAGAAGAAGATTTTTTAAAGATAGCATTAATTTTGGTGGTTGCAGCCCCACCCCTAAGGCCCCAGAGGGGCAGGGACCCTGAAATTTACAATTTTTGTTCCCCTTTACCCATAGATGCCATATGCCAAAATTTGTTGAAATTGGTTGAGCGGTTTCAGAGAAGAAGCTGAAAATGTTCAAATGTTGTCGCACGACGAACGCCGACGGACAAAAACGGATAGCAATAGGTCACCTGAGTGACTCAGGTGACCTAAAAACTATGAAGTACTTTTTGTAAATTATAAAAATCGTGTATAAATATCTCATAGATAATCATAGGTGAATAGTAAAGGGAATAATTTTACACAGTTGAATACAAATTCAGCCCTGTCCAGCACCAGAACACTTGACTTTGTGGTCCAGAATTATACAAATCTCTTAAAAATACCCTTGCTTATATATTTTTGTTCTTATTAGTCTCGAGCTCCTACACGCACAGGATTAGAGCAGAAGATTTTCAAAGAAATAATACATTTTCCTATACATTCAAGCCAGGGGTCATGAAATTCAAAAGAAGCACATTTTTCTTCAGCACAACTATGCGCTTAGTTTATACGCTAAATAGTCGGGAGCAGAGAAGAAAACTTTTTAAAAAATTAAAGCATTTTCATTACATAATCATGGAGTGCTGTTTTTACAAAAGAACCATTGACCAAGGGGCCATGAAATCATAATTTTGGAAGAGGCACCCATGTTCATTATAATTATGCACTTAGTTTGTTTCTTTAATACCCAGGAGCATAGAAGACTTTCAAATAACGCATTTTCACTTTATAATAAATAGATCCCCACACTTACACCAGAACCTCTGATCCAGGGGCCATGAAGTGCATAGATTTGGAAGAGGCACCTTACACATCTTAACTTCGCACTTTGTTTGCTTAATACCCAGGAGCAGGGAAAAAATTAATTTTCTCTATATATTCAGTAGCACTCAACCCCGAACCCCTGACCCGGGGGCCACAAAGACGATGGGCGTAATTGCCGTGTGATCTGCAGGAAGCACGTGTACGAAACATTTATAAATTATAGTCGGCTGAGGACAGCTGGACAGACTTTTAAAAGTTACTCACACAATAAAATTTTGCATTTAGGTTTTGAAATATCTTGTCAAATTGTAATAATTAAAATCGCTTATCGTAATAGTTACTATAACATAGTAACGTTTCACATAAATAATTAGCACCTATAAGATAATAGGTTATAGTTAAATCCAATTAAAAGCACATGGC